TATATATATATATATATATATATATAGAAGTAAACTCGAGAGAAATCCAATGATGGGGTACACTCAAAGATTAGTGCAAGTATATGGCATTGTATATATTATATATGTCGCATATCACATATCACACATGTGGAATAGATATGGATATCATATGTGATGTATGTAATGATATAACATACTGTGATGAGCCGAAAAAGAGGAGCGAAGGGTGGGAGAGACGGTGAGCGTCGCGACGCCTCAGTTTTCTCAGTCTCCGCCCAACCGGCATCGCATTAACCCGCGTTCGCAAGCTCCGTCTTTTAAAAACAAAAAAACCGCCAATTGTCTCCTTTTTATTTAAGTCGCTAGTTTTTTTTCTGGATATTAAAAATTTTTTTTTATTTATTTATCAATAATTAGGAGAGATTTTATACTTATTTTTGGTTACAATATTTTGTAAATTTTATTGGAAAAAAAATTAATTAATAAACAAAAAGGATTAAAGTTAAATTATTAAGTTTAGAAAGATGACAACTTTCTGGGTCAGTTAATCGTGTGATAAGTGTGTGGTACCTTGGGTGTTAGCTGAGAAAAACTAAAAGCGCCAGTTAATCGTTTCTCTGGAGGCGTTAAGAAAACAGTCAAGATCAATCGCTGCGAGAAAATGTCGAGACGACAAGGTAATTTTTATTGTTAAAAAAAATTAGTTAAAATATTTTAATAATTTTTTTTTTAAAGGTAAAAATGCAAATTTTTTTTTTTTAGTTCTAAAATTAATTTTTTTAAATTATTAATTAATAATTTTTGAATATTTGATCTTTAAAAAAAATTTCGCGCCAAAAATTAAGTTTTTATTTTTATAAAAAAAATTTTGAATTAATTTATTAAATAAATTATTGTAGAAAAATTTTTAAATTGACATTTTTGAACTTTTCAATTTTTGCTCTAAAATATGTTAATTATGAATGTAAATAAAATTATTACGTTACCAGTAATTAATAAATGAAATAATTAAAGTATTACGTGCTCAGTTATCACCTTGAATAATCGCATGAAAATTAATCTGAAATTGATTTCCCCTGAAAGTTAATGACAAGTATTATTATTAATTTAAGAACTAAAAAATTGTGGTATGGTTTGCGTTAAAAATTATATATTTTTAGAATTTTATAAATATATCCATGAAGTACTTTGACACACTGATCTGAATAATTATAAATTATAGATCCTAAATGTGGACTAAAATCCTGAATAAATAATCCGAAATTTTGCCGCACGAGCTTTTAATTCATTGAGTAATTATAGTGCTAAAGATCAAATTGTTTAATGGATCTTTTAATAGTTGCATTAATAAGTTAAGAATAGTTCAAAATTTGCGTGTTTATTAATTTTATCAATATTTACAAAATATTCAATTAAAGAAGATTTATTTTAAGATTAAAATTAACCTTTGACATTGCTTCCAACAAATCGCGAATTCAAAAAATCATTAAATAAATTTATAATAATTCAATTAAAAAAAAAAAAAAAAACAATAATTTTTTACATAACTTACACTAATTTGTAACTATTATAGAGTTTATAAAAAAATTTGTTTTATTAAAGTTTCAAAATTAAAAAAAAAACATCAGTGAATATTAAAAACATAAAATAATTTTTTAATCTTAATTATAATAAATAAAAAAAAATTAATTAAAAAATATCAGTATTAAAAAAACAATAATTTCTTCCAATTATTTAATAATAATTATAAAAAAATAAATAAAAAATATCAGTATTAATAATAAAATAGGTAATTTGATAATCTCAAAAACTAACAAACTAATTTGAAATTTCCTTTCGCTCATCAAAGCAAATCGAGCGTACATAATATTATCTAATCCAATCTATTTTAGTAGCACGTTAAACTTTGACAAACTACAATAACAAACTTTTTGACTGGTAATATAAATTGTTTTAGCAATTAAACACGAGTTCCAAACATAAATTTAATTTAACTGTCAGCGAGAATTAATTTACATCGAAGCGTCATTAAAACCAAAAATATATACCGCAAAATTGTATAAATTTATACTATAAAACAATTAATAAAAAGCCACTCGAGACAATTACACAATTAGCAATTCCCTCAAAAAATAAAATCCAGATCGCCTGATAAAAATTGTAACGTCTGTCTTTTCCGTCGTTTTACTTTGACAAATATATTATTGAGCTTTAGTTATTCAGTGCGTCGCTTATCCTTATCTTGTTCTGCTGTATAATATATATTATATGTCAAGACAAGTTGAGTTTTGAATCATCTTGGTACCTCTTTTTCTTCCTCCCCTCTTTACCCCGTTCTTGTTCCTCTACTTGGTTCCCGTGTATTTGCATGCGATCGAACATCGGGAAGTGAATCTCAGCAGCTACCCCAATTGTGAGTTTAATTTAACTATCTCTCTCGCTCGCCATCCTGATAGAGGATCCTCAAATTTACATTCGAGACCTGGTTGGTTGCATCTGCCTGCACCGCCACTACGCTATCAGTATTGTATTAATAGTCGAGCACTTGTACAGTCACAATCACATCCATGTACAATCTATATAGCCGTAGTAATAGTGAAAATAGTATAAGGAAAGTATATAATAGCATAATAGTAGTAGAGGGACTAGGTACTATGTATGTAGCTGCAGCATTGGCAATCTGTGCAGGGTAGTCGAGTGCTGTGTACCCTAGTGGTTGATCTCGTTGTTTGATCAGACTCGCTCGTGCTCATCAATACCAATAATCTATTAATTCAACTACCAGATCCTTGTATTCATTATTTTCGGGTATTAATACTAGTACTGTACACTTTAGATTATAGCTTCGACTTGTTATTTTTTTTTATTAATTTTTAATAGAAAGATTTTATAATTTCGACGAATATGGTCATGTTAAGCT